ATTTTAATGATAAATGTTAAAACAGTTAAAATTATTGGACCCCAGGACCGGCTCTGTATATATATATATATATATATATATATATATATATATATAGAGATGGGTAACTCACTCCGGAGTTATCACTCGGATACAACTCCTCCCTCGGAGTGAATCCGAGTGGAGTTGTTTCACAGGATTTGTCATATCCGACTTCCTTAAACTGGTATCAAATCTGTTAACTCGTACAGACATTTAGTGTTTTTGTCGATTTTGCTTTGAGAAGGAAGCGGTCACTTTCTTATCTCGCAGGCAGTTTTATGACCTTTTTTAGGTATAAAAGACAAGATAAATACCATTGTGTATTTTCCAGAAAATACAAAAATGTTACTTTAAAGATACAGAACAATGAAATTGTATTCAAGTGTGAATGGCTCATATGTATAATTTATTGAATAGTAAGGGGTGATATTTCTAACTACGACAATCTTTGGCCGTAAATGACGGCAAATAAATACAAAACGAATTACATTTAAAATGAAAAATATATGAAACGAAAGACATTTATTTAATCTTGTTTTTCCATAGCCTGAAATAACAACACTTTAGAGTACAAAATTTATCAGTGACATCATTAGTATTAAAGCAGTAAAAAATATTCATTATCATATTATTACTTTTACACAATTATATAATTGTGTAAAAGTAATAATATGCTAATCGAACTACGCGATATAATATTAATTCTCAAATGGAAATAGCCAATTTTTTTTTAATTTCAATAATTATTACAACTGTTAAATTATTAACATCTAGTAATATTGATAAATAATATCATTAATTTAAATAAATAAAAGTGCGAAGGATAAAATTTACATGAAAATAATATCCGTAATATTTGATTTGAAATAAAATATAAGCAAATAATAATAAAAATAAAATTAATAAATAATATAAATAAAATTTCTGAATAATAAAATATTACTAGAAAAATAATAAAATATAACAAAATAACAATAATAGAAATAGTAAGATAATAATAATAATAATAATAATAATAATAATAATAATAATAATGTTAGCGTTTACAAATTTATGAGATCATTGGGAATTTTTCGTTTTAGCCTTGTTGAGCGCGCTTCTGAGAACACTTTGTGTGCCAAGTAATTTGAGTGTTCGTCTATTCTTCTTTTGTAGTTGTTTGTTTTTTGTTGAATTAAGAAAGAAATTTAGAAGAAAAATTTTGAAAGCAGAAGTATTACGTTTTGCTTTTATTACAAAGTTTACTACTTAATTTTTAAATAAAATTAATCAAAAAAATCAATTATTTTCTCATCAGAAGGAAATCATTAAATTGAATTTGATTCTCAAATTTTGCGTTTTTACTTTGGTCAACACTGCTAAAAATATAAGTCACTGAGTCGATCATCTGGTCGACCGAATAATTATTTTATTGCTAATTATTTATAAATTTTTATTTCAAATAATTAATGGGATTTGACAAATCCTTAGACACATAGACAGCGTACTATAGAACACATTTGTTTCGAGTATTTCTGCTTCAAAATTGTCGGAGTCGTAGAGTTGTTAAGCGGATATAACTCCACCATGAAGCGGAGTCAAATCCGAGTCGATCCGGCTTCGGATATAATAAGCCCATCTCTAATATATATATATATATATATATATATATATATATATATATATATCAAAGCGCTTACATGTCAAATCACCCAAAAAAAATTTAGAAAAAAAATTTTTTGGGCAAAATTTTTGGGAAAAAAATTTTAGAAAAAAAAATTTTGGGGCAAAAATTTTTGCGGAAAAAAATTTTGGAAAAAAAAATTTTTTGGAAAAAATTTTTGAGAAAAAAATTTTAGAAAAAAAAATTTGGAAAAAAAATTTGGGGAAAAAAATTTGGGGAAAAAAATTTGGGGAAAAAAATGGGATAGGAAGGGAAAGGATCAATACACTCTGAGATCGACAAAGACTTTGAAATCCGGTTTTCCAAAGTCCGCGATCCCATCAATCACGCTGCGATCGCTAGTCGACTCCGGACCCGGTCTTCCAAAGTCAACGAACACGATCACTTCGTGTAAATCTGAAAACCACCACAAATATTTTACACAACTCTTATATAAACATCATTAATAATTTATAATCTTTTTCATTTATCTTATTCTCTACAATGAATTAATCTGTTTCCACATTTGTTGATTTTAGTATGGGATCTTCTTTCTGTTTACATTATAATAATATCCATCCGTGTCCCTACATCTTCGACACTTAAGATTTGGTTTTCAAATATTTCTGTATAGATTTACATATTTAGTACTGTGTCAAGCATTGTAAGATATATTTGATGTTTTTTGTGTTGAATATTAAGTAAATAACAAATAACTTCATTGCAATTTACAAACAAGTACATTTATAACCCTATTGCTAAATCCACAGCAAAAATAAATAATGAATATTAAATAAGTATATCGAAATTGTACCACTTTTGTCTGAATTCTCATCATCATTAATAATGCCAAATTAACACACATTTATTAGTTATGATGAGCAAATCTGATTGTCTTACTAAATTTAATTATTGCGATGACTAATTAATTAAATTGAAATTAAATAAAAACATACATAACACTTTAGCCAATTAGACCAAGTGCCCAGAATGGTGCATTTGTTCGCTAAATTAGGGGGCGTCCATTAATCACGTGAGGTTTTTAGGGGGAGGGGGGGTTTGACAAAAATCACGAAATATCACGTGGGGGAGGGAGGGGTATAGCAAGATATCACGTGCATTTATTATTTTTACTATTTTTTATAAAAAAGTTCAAACATTTTTAAAAAAAATTAAAAATTATACAGTTTTTTCACGTAACTAAAAATACACGTGATGTTTGGTGGGGGAGGGGGGGTAATTTTGAATATCACCAAATATCACAAAGGGGGAGGGGGGGTCTAAAAATCCTTAAAAACTCGCTCACGTGATTAATGGACGCCCCCTTACATCTAAAAAATATTTTTAAAATTTTTGAAAATTTTTCCATGCTATTTCCATACAAAACTTTGATTGAATTGTGCTCTATCTAAACGTTAATATTAAGAACTAAAACTTTCAGAGAATTGTTTTTTATCTATTTGGAACCATTTGAGCACCTGGGTGCAAGGAAATTCGAAAATGAACATTTTAAGAACCACCCTAATATATATATATATATATATATACATATATATACATATATATATATATATATATATATATATATATATATATATATATATATATATCACACGCCTATATTTATCACGCCGTCATATGTAATTGTACAAAAGTATTTTATGCTTTTTACACATAATCGATTCAATGCTTATAATATATAAAAGAGCAAATCATATAAAACATCATGTTTTCTTGATTTTTTCTGCTTTCCAATGTGATAGTATTATGGGTGCTCTCAACTAGAAAAAAAATCCAGACAGAAAACAATCAAACCAGATGAGCATTTGCATTTTGGTTTATTCGATGGAAACTAAATAATAAATTGTAAAATATTGTCTAGTTGTTTCAATAAAATTTGTGACTAATTATAAGAAAAATGTTCTTTGTGTTTGCGATCTATTATTTTTAAAAGATAAAATATAATCAATAAAAGTAAAATAAAAAAGAGGAACAACAAACAAACAGTAAAATTTACAGATTCTTTGCATTATAAAATTTATGATTATTGAAACCACTTGCAATTAATTGTTCTGAAAATATCTACAGTGCATCACTCATTTAAGAAAATTACTTTAAAAACTCCTAAATAAAAACTTTGTTTATACAAATCAGTATATATTTAACAAAAATAACATAGTTAATGGAAATAATTATAGTTAATAAAACTATAAAAAATATACAAATGATGTATTTTCTATTACATTATATTATATTTTCATTTGATTAATTTATGTTAATAATAATATATTATATGTTACAAATCAAATAATAAAAACAGAATTGTTTCATAATTCCATCAACACTGCTGAAAAGGTATGTATTGGAAATCCATATAAAATTACTTATATCACAATTGTGTGCATATAAATAAATAAACAAAATTTCATATTATTGCATTTCATATTGAAAACTGAATGCAATAAATAAGCACAACTTGGATATTGATATGCATAATGTTGACCTTTAAATACAGTTTAAATATAAAACGGATCTATCATTAATTGGCAAGCAAGATGTGTGTTTTATAAATAAGGCCACATCCATGTATATTAACTTTAAATGAAATGTTAAGATATTCTTACTAATAATTTATACATAACACCTTGCATATCCAATATTGGAAATATTTTACATTAAACATGATCATTGTTTATGTAAAGTATTTTGCTTATAAAAAGTAGGATTGGAATACTCACTAACAAGAATATTCATAAAAAGTAAAAATATCAACACAAATTTCCAATAAACAATATTTAATTATAATTTAGATACAATATTATTTATGGAGATTTGCCTTTGATGTTTTGCTTTCACTATAAGTACATGATAACATAAAGTCGCTTATTTCAAACACATGTCTACGATTTACTATATATATATATATATATATATATATATATATATCTTCAAAATCCATACATAAAAACAAATCAAGTATCTTTAGTATTTAATACCAAACTTTTTAACACATAATCTTATGTCAAATATCGCAATTTCATATTATGTGTAAGTCAAAACACCACCAGTGTTGTTAAGTATTATCAATAGTAAAAATGATAAATATTATTCACTGATGATAATACTTGATTATATGTTTGAAGATTTAGCACAATTAATATTCTCAAAAATTTTTTGATTTTTATTTGATGTATGGAGATTTCTACATGTAAGTACATGCATATATATATATATATATATATATATATATATATATATATATAAATATAAATATATATGTATGTATAATAACAATTATACAAGAAAATAATGTTAAGTATATACTCATGATATTCATTCAATAAAATAAATTAATTCCACTTTAATGATAGCTATCTTATTATCTTTTAATAGTTATCTCTACTGGTCCATTAGGTAATCGTTTCATCATTGACCAAACTTCTACCCGGGAAAGATAAGTCACAAATTGATCATTCACTTTTATTAATTCATCGCCTGCTCGCAATAGATTGTCTTTATCTGCCGCTCCACCTGAAGTAAAAAATACGTAACATGAGTATCACTGCATACAAGAAAGTTTAATAACAAAATTAAATCAAACACTAAATAAAAAAACATATTGATTTCATTTTAGTATAGAATAAAAAATAGAAAATGATTTAATTTTGCGAGATAAGTGATTATATAATCTCATGTTTATTACTTGACCATATCATTCTCAAAAGTTGACCATTTTGTGTAATACAATATGCCAAAGTTTAAAGCCATATTTTCCTAATGATGCGCCCTGATGACTTTGAAAAAATTTATTATAATCTGTTAAATATAAAAATACAAACAAAACGGTTTAATTTTGTTTGTTAGTGAATAAAATGGACAATAAAAATCATTTGAAAAGATACGTACCAGTAAATATTTTCTTGATAAGTAAAGGCTTGTCTCCTAAGGGTGAATCCACACCTCCTTCGAGACTAAAACCGAGGCTGGCACCTTGCTTCTCCAATGTGATTGTCAAAGCATTAGGATCAGATAATGGCAATATCTTTTGTTCATCCGATGGAGATTGTAAGTCTGAAAATATATCAAAATAGAGAAATGTTATTTTTTTATGTATTGCCCTTAAAAGAATGTATTCATATATATATATATATATATATATATATATATATATATATATATATATATAGTTATAAGAATTAAAACATGACAGTATTAATTATTATCAATAAAATTGTCATATAAATAAACAAAAAAATTACATTATTTGAACATTAACAATACTTCAAATATAATTATTATTTTTATTTATTATAAATATTATTTAACCTAGTTAAAGATCACTAGATATTAAAATTACAAGAAGAAATTAACTTACTACTTGGTTGAAGTAATATCGATTTTCGAATACTTTTTGAAGCAGACGCCACTGAAGGTGCATTTAGTCCTTTGCTCTTCGAAGTTACCAAAACTACTTCTGAACGTGGTGCCTAATAAAATAGTACAAACATTAGATACAACTAGCTGTAAGTGGAATTCTGTCTTGAGGCAATTAGGGCATCGTGCCTTAAGGCAAATTGCAGGAACTTCCCGTACCAAAAATTAATATTTTTTTTAAAAACGATTAACATTTTTGAAAAAAATTTACTTCGAAAAAATTAGATTTTTGAAAAACTATAAATTTGATAAAAAATTACTATTTTTTGAAAAAAAAAAATTTATTTGAAAAAAAAATTTTTTTTTGAAAGAAAAAATTTTTTTTTGAAAACAAAAATTTTTTTTGAAAAGAAAAATGTTTTCTTCATTTTGACATATTTTGGAAATTCTGAACTTTTTTTCGATGCAATCGTACTGCTTGAACTGCATAGAGACGAAATGTCACAGCGCAAGTGCCGCGCTGCCGCCTAACGCATAAGCATTGGTACGGAACCCATAGAAATGTGAAAAAAAATTATACTTATTGTTAAAATCTTTATAAAATATCTGATAATTTGATGTGCATATGTCTAATGATCATTTTCAACCGCCGAATAGCATTTTTTTTTACTTTTTTCATTAGATCTCCGAAACCGCTAGACCTGCCTTCATGAAAATTTGATCAATTTTTCATCTTGTCAATACAAGTAAAATGTCTTTTGAATTATTCAAATCGGACGCTCCGTTCTCTTAAAAACGGATGTACCGTTTTTGGCACTTTTTGCCCCGTATTTTCGGAACGGCTAGACCTGCCTTCGCCAAAAACTAATCAGCACGTCTTCTTATGAATACGAATCGAATGTTTTTTGAATTATTCAAATCGGTTGATCCGTGTTCCCGAAATCGTCGACGAAAATTTGTATCCGCACATACATACACACACGTACATACATACACACACACATATACACACACACACACACACACACATACATCCATTTTTTCTAAGGTATGCCAAAATGTTCAGAAACCTTTGAAACGTAAAGATATATAAAAATTTTCATTTTCGATTTTTTTGCGATTACTATAACTTGCCCTACGGGAAGTTAAAAATAAATTAATACAAGTTTTGTTTAAAAACCAATAATTTTTGTACAATTCATTCATTTCACAAGAAGTAAATATAACTTTTCACTAGTAACGAAGAAGGTGAGTTTTGTATGTTTAAAAATACTTAAATAACAATCGAAGTTTGACCCACGCAATTGGCGTTATTGAATATACAATATATATATCAAATAGTTTTGTCAAATTATAAAGTTCAATTTATAAATTACAATAATTGTTAAATTAGTAGTTGGTTTTATGGGTATGGCTTTCAGGATATATTTATTTATATAATGGATCATAAACACTGATTCTATATTCAGTACAACAGTCAACTCTCTTTTGGGATACGATTAAAAAGAAGGTTTGTATCGCTTGAAGATAAAATTCAAATTATAGATCATGGGGATCAAGATTATATGGAGATACAGATCAATGATCAAAAAAAGCTATAAAGATCTATTTATTTTTTTATTTATTTATTCATAAGCTAGCCGTAATCAATAATAATAGATATTATTTCAGGCTCTTGTCAAGAATCGTTTGGAAGTTGTAGAAAAAATATAGTCTGTTGCAAAATCAATAAATTTTATTGAATCTAGAATTCAATACTAAGTGAAAAACTGTGCTGTGATATGTACGAATTCGGAGTTTCTTATAGCACGATTCCCATACAACGCGGTTATTCATTCGCATATAGTCGGCTAATTTATAGAAGGCACTATAAATTAGCCTGGATTGTACGATAAATCCGAGTTTCTTTTAGAACGGTTTCCATATTACACGGTACGTATTCACTGCCTTATCTAAGAGTTGACTGTAAGTATGTAAACTTTTGGCATTATTCTCAGAAATGTTTTTTAGTCACAATATACGCTTGAAAAATAATAAATTGATTATAGTCTAGTCATTACAGTAAGTTCACCTCGAAATTCGAGATACCGAGCTGTAAGTCTGTAAATACTTGTATATTGACACCCTAAAGTTGTCTCAAAACCTACGTATGGTATTGACACCCTACCATATGTAGGTTTTGAGACAGCTTTAGGGTGTCAATATACAAGTATTTACAAACTTACAGCTAGGTATCTCGAATTCCGAAATTTTTACCTAATTTAAGCTTAAATGAGTGGACTATAACCCCGTACCATTTTAACGAAAAATAATTATTATAGGAAATTATATTATATATCTTTTTTTTTTATCTAAAAACAATTTTAAAATATCATTAATGTTACCTTTAAAATAGCCAAGCTTTCTCTGTGTGTTACACCTTTCATTGACTTTCCATTAATAGAAAGTACGCGGTCACCCTTTTGAACTCTGCCATCCCGATCAGCAGGGCTACCGACTAAAACTTTGTGTATCTGAAAATACATTTCGATTTGAATTCTTTCTTATACATGATAAATTGCTCACTACCTCAAATTTTTGTCAGTAAAATTATTATGTAATGATATGAATTATAAGTGAATAAAATAAGTTGTGATACAAAATATATTTTTTCTTACTGTGATTTCTTTAGTTTCATAATCTGCACCTCCAGCTAAAGTGATTCCAACTGAACTGCCTGGTGCATCTCTATGTAAAACTATTACTAGAGCATCGCCGAGTGCCATAGTAGAACTATTGCTGGATGGCGAACAAGCTCCCTCAGAAACAGAATTTGCTTCGTCAATAAGTTGCTGCAGCTCCTAAAAAATGATCATTTAAGGATTAATATTTACACAGATACATATAATAATCACATTGAAATATTATATCACAATATAAAAAATCGTTTATTGATAAAATCATAAATAAATTGAATATTCCACTCGCCTTCGTAGGTTTCGAATCAGACAAACTACAAGTGAAACTGTTTAACAATATGATTTTCATAATGTATAAGCCATTGCGCATATAAAAGAATAAACTTAATGTTATATAATGAAGATAACCGTATTGTATGTGACTGAATTTTCGCTTCCCTGGCAACATTAATGCAAGAATATAAATTAACATATAATAATAACAAAGCAAACATATAAAATTTCTATTGACGAAAGCACAAACTAATCACGCGATCGAAAATCGCATAACGAGAGAATAGAATATGCAATCTTAGTTATGCATGTAAGTATGTATACAATACTTAGTTCACATGGACCTCTGATATGACATTTTGTGCAAGTTATTAGTAACCTAACTTTTTTATGAAATCATTTAAATAAAAAAAAAGTGATTTCATATATTATAAATTTGAAAAAATTACGCATTCATTGAAAAGTTGAAAGTGAAAAGTAAGAAAATCAAATTATAAAAAATCCGAATCAAATATTTTTTCCAAATAACATTATTTGATTACCCATACTTGATTTTTGCATATTTTCTCAGCAGAAACAAAAACTTGAAAAAAAATGTTGATTTTTAAATCACAAAAAATATTACCTGCTGGGAGATGACGCTGGTTGAAGACGCCAAAGAAGAAATGCTACCAAAATCTCCACTCTGTAGATTATTGCTTGAGCCACTGTGGTTATTTTGACCATTTGCCAACATCGAGGAGACTCCCGAAGACCCCTCACTGGTCGTGGAGTCTAAAGATGAAATGCGCTGGTGATTATAAATTAATCCATTATTATTATCTTTATGGTTATTCATCAATTTAGAACGGCCAGTTGCAAATTGCGATGTCGGTGAAGTTTTCTCAAAAGTTTTTCTAATATCATTTACGCTTGTGGAACGCTTTTCCTTTAAAAGTATATCTGTTTTGCTTCTAGTGACAGGCGAAGGAGTTTTATTATTAGAATTAGATAGCATATCCATTAAATCACCAGAATCACTGTCTTCCAAAAGTGATCTTCGCGTACGGCTTGTTGTAACCGGGGTAATTGCGGTAGTAGGTGCTATGACATATTTTGCTTCATTACGCACCCATTTGCGGATTTCAGTATCGCTATCCGATGCAGGTTCTTGCTGAGCTAAACCATATTCAAGACTACTTGGTTCGGTACTATCAGTTTCAGAATAAGCGGCTACCGGGGTAGTAGTTTGTTTAACACGGCTATATCGTGGTGCTGATGGTGGTTCTTCGTTACCATCAGTGCTGTCTTCATCAAATTTTCGTTGAATCAATGGCGAACCGCTCAAATCGCGGCCGGAACGGCATTTTGCAGACGCCAATATATTTTTACGGTTAATAGCCTCTACGCTCTGAGGCTTTAGTACTCTGCCGCATCCAGCAGACGATGAAGAGTTACTTCCACAGCAGCTGCTAGGATGAGATCCTGACGTCAGTGTGGATGTTGCACTAGATGCAGTTTCCGAAGAAGGAGTCCTGCATAAGGCGCTATGTGGTGATGGCGGAGATGAGTAATCTCTTGATGCATAGCTCGACTGACTCGAACTGACCGCAGAATCATTGTCGCTGTCATCGTCTGTACGCGAATCATGCAATACCGATTTTGATGAAGTCAATGACTTATTGTTCTCCAAATAATCGTAATTGTCAATGGCACTGTCTAAACTCTTCGGCGAATCGCTATTCGTCAAAGATGATTTGCGATAACCGTTACCGTTCACCAAAGATGTCCTCGGAGGTTTCGCTGGAGTTTTCTTTATTTCCACATTGTCATTTACAGCATTACCGTTTACAGCATCAGTTTCACTGGTTCTTGTGCTATATAGCTGCAAACTTTTTCTCTTAAATGCAGGTGAATATTTAGGTACGTTGTTATTCTGCGGAGATTTCCATGGCGGTGGCGATACGAGTTGTGGAGAAATCCTAACTGGTGTGATTGTGCTATAGTCAGGTGTTTTCGTCTGCACACGCGGTTTGTTTAAAATACAATTACTGCTTTTTATTTCAGGCAAATCAATTATTGGAGCGATTGATTGTATTTCGGGTACCTTTTCGGGAATTACCAAACCACGCAACTTAGATATTGATCTTCTACGTTGTTCAATTAGTAAATTCAAACTATTTTTTCGTTGCTCTTCATTTAATTTAGAAGGCATGCAGGGCTTACCATTAGTATTGTTCTGGGAATCAATATATTGTGGCCCAGAAAAGCTAGTGGTACGTGTTAAAATACCATTAGAAATCACTTTCTCTGTAGATCTTGGAAGTGTATTGAAGGTGTTCAACGTAATTGTGTTAATTTCATCATTGTTTTCTTCCGTAATTTTACCCTGGAAATCCATTGAACAATAACGTTGAATAGGTTTTTCTGGAGAACTATCTATGGGAACCACACTTTTTGTTACTGAATGACCATCGGGTGAAACAGGGGTAATTCCAGTGTTTTCAATGGACATTGAAGACTTGGAAAATCTTTTCGACATTGTGGTTGTAGTATCGTCTCCATTGAACACATCCTCCGAACTCTTAAATGTTTTGGATAAGCGTTTGCTGGGTGTATATACAACTGCAGGAGACGGGAAAAGTGGCTGCTCAGGTTCATGAGTGTTAGAAAACATAGCTATTTTATCCCGGACACTGCAGGAAGATTTTACATCTTTGCGCCAGTTTTTCAATTTCAAAGAATCACTTATTGCAGTCTTGTCTTCTGATGACCCAACCGAATGTTTGCGTGCAGAATATTTTGCTGCTTCGTCCACTTCATCTTTCGATTTAATCAATAATAAATCTCCAGATAGTTTTCTCGCTACTTTATCCGATGTCGGAGAATCATTGTGGGATTTCACTTTAGATGTTTGCAATGGAGGCACCGATCTAGGCAGCGGAGGGTTAATACTCTTCTCTTCCGATGTTTTTATATCAACAGACGGTTGAGCAAATTTCGTTTGTTCCGATTCCATTTTTATTTTATCCTGTTTAGTCGCAGTATGTTCTACAAATTTTTGAAGTTGATTATTAGAAATATCTTGGTGACTACTGGGCTCCATGTAATTTGGTGGAAACTCGTGTCCATCAGGGGGAAGACGTGAAAAACTGGGTGGATGCTGATTTGCCGTCTTAACATGATGCTCACCACCGGGCAAAAGCTGCGCGGTTGAATCCATGGTGCCATCTACACCTAGAATAAAAAATATTACATCAATATAAATCTTTTTGTATACGTGTAGCAAATTATATATTAATATCGTTTTCAGGTCAAAAGAACAATTCATGAAGTTAAATTCATCAAAATTAAAAATCATATATCAAAATTAAAATGCATAATTTGAACTGTAATAGAAAACATAGAATTTATTTACAGATCGTAATTGTCAAGCAAGTAGTGCAATAAATTATGATTGATAACTTCCTTCAATTCGCAGTGGAGGCACTTGCATGCTACGGAAAGATATTTTCTTCAACTGAATTTTTCACACGCATCTGTTTTTCCCGAAAGTTTTTTAACAAATACATGTATCTTTTAGTAAAATCGTGATATATTTATATAAATATAATAATTTTAATGTTTTTATTACTTTAATTAATAATTTTGAAGTTTGAAAATTATATCAAAATCTAGTGGACGTTGAAGAATTGAACAAAAAGGTGACTTTGCTTCTTCAGGCAGGATAATATCCACCTTCACGCTCCATATATCGCGTAAAAAGCCATTTAATTAATGCGTGTTCTTGTGAAGTTGTATTACAAAAAGTGCATAAACCTACGGCCTGAATTAAAGTAAATTGAAAATATAAATATTACTTAAAAACGATAAACACAAATTTTTCATATAACATTTTGAATTCGGTTTTTTAATCATAATAATATATATTTATTTTATTTTAAGAGTTTTTACATTATAATAATAAATATATTAAACTAAATAAAAATTATAAATAGGTGATATGCCCGAAGACATGTTCTGAATAAATTAACTCAATTCATAAATGCATAAAGCAAAAATAGATTTTCCTTCGCCATTTCACAGTATTTGGATTAATTTGAAATGCAACATATTTTTGATATATGCTTTTCAAATAAATGAGAAGATGAAGATCTTCACAAAGATCCTTCCAGATGAACACAAGTAAAATAATTGCAAAGTATGCAAATAAAGACTTCTAGGAAACGTAAGAACAGATATATTAAGCGATTGTATACATAAAATTAATGATGGAGGTGAATAAATGCATATATAAACAATAGTGACTATGGACCAAATATAGGACAAGGCAAGCATCGAAATCGTCTTCGGAATGTTGTTTTTAAACCGCAAATAATAATTGGATCAAATATAGTTTTAAATGAAAGACTATTGTTATACATAACAGAAACACATAGTTCAATAGTTGGTTATTTGACAAGTGTGTTGTAATGTACTTCATTTGGTTTAGACAGTATAATTGCTCAAAGACAATTGGACCTTTGTGTCCCGCCCTATCTTACATATCGTGCATCAAACAAATTAATTGTGATACTATTTGTTCACAATAATTTAAATACTAAAATTGTTAGTATTTAGAAACACTGATTTTAATTCGGCTATTGTACCACTAATAACAAGAATACGACACAATTCAGAAAAGTGACAACATAAATTAATGTATCGTGGTACTCTTGCGTACGAGTGAAAATGCAAGGCCATTTTTTGATAAGAAAAAATTAATTAACCTGTTAATTCATTATTTTCTAATTGACTTCAGTTCTGTGGTTTAATTTCTATTACATGTCGTTTACACAATTCGCTGAGCATTCAGTTCAAGTTAAAATTTTTATCGGCTTTTGATATTGCCACAACACTAGATCTTTCCGCAGTTAAAGGAGTGTAAATAGAACACCGGAATAAAATTAACAATCGGTGCGCTGATTAAATTATGGTTTATTGCTACGTATTTATGACATCCATATAAATATTTGTATTTTCAACTGACAAATTTAGAGGAGTAATCGATTTAAAACGACCAGTATATATACGGTATTTTTATAGACATGAATTGATTATAAACAAAATACAAATATAAAATACTGTCGATCATCGATAAAAAATCACGCATATGAAATATTTGATATCGAATACGCAATACAATGTAATAATAAAACAATATCAATATCCAATAAAGAGCTTTGAGATTACAATTTGTGCAATGAGCAATACAGAAATAAAATATAAATAAACAATGCTAGTGCAAAGTACAAAATTCCAAATCCAGTACATGTTTTAATGAATTTATGTTAAGAAAACCGTTAATTTAGCCTATTCAATATGAAAAGTAATTAAGATGATTGTATGGCCCACATTGGATCCGGTTTTTTTATTGCATCCGGAGCAGTGCGGATAATAAACATTTGGAAATATCAAGACAAGAAGACAAATATGATTCGTATTGAGAAACGGCTATGACAATTGTAATACATCATTACAACTATAAATTATTATTGTGCTTTTCTTACATATTCCATATTGAGCGATTATTCTGCTATATATAATAAGCATTCTTGTATCTAATACAAAGAGATCGAATATTATATTAAAAATGACCAACTGAATTTTTATCCTGGTAAAGGTGTGAATAATAAAAAAAATAGTAAAGTAAGCTAAAAAAAGCAATGAGCAAGAGATAAATCAAATAAATAGTAATTCCAACTATGCTGCTCATTATTTTTAACAAAATACTACATAAAGAGTTATATACAATACAATGCTCTGCATAATAGGTACCCATAGAATTTATAGGTCGCATTGGTTGAATAATGTAGCTATTATTTCGTAAAATATCTTTAAAATTAAAAATAAGACATTGATCCTGTTTGCCGTCCCTTTTTATCCTGCCCGTGGAGTAAAATATACCAAGTGACAACTTTTTGAATAAACAGCATTTCTACCATGACGAATTAGCTGGGATTTGTACTGAGCATAGTCAGAATGTTGTTAGTGTGATATGTGTTATTTGTTATGATATGATTGGTTTGGTTTTCACAATATGATTGCTCAAGGTCAAATTGGACCTTTGTGCCCGCCCCTGCTCTATATATGCATAAATAGATTCATTCTACGGATTACAACCACCAGGAATTGAGACGAAAAATCGATAATATACGTAAAATAAAGATAAGTAATATAAGAAAAGTTAATTTTATTTAAAAATTAAAACGACTTTTTTTAGATATCCATAACAAAATAAATAGCTATGGTAATTTAGATTACAGTAATACACTGCTTAATGCTGCTTCGTTTAAGGCTGATTTTAGATAAGAAATGTGGAAGATGTTAAAAAAATAGTTAATTTTATCAGTATATTACTTTATGTTATTAAAATTGTTGCATAAATAAATGCTTGGTTTTAATTTCATTAAAAATTCATAGCCAAATTTCCACCCATCTTTCCATTTCCACCCTATTATTTACAACGAACAAAAATGAGTAATTCCATTAAAAAGGTAACTTGCTGGGCAAATAAAACAAAGATTGTGGCAATTTATAAATTATTCTACTAAAATTGTTCTTTATGAATTTATTTCAAGAAATATCCACTTTAAGATGTAATGAGTAGCATGTCGCTTTAGCTGATCACCACTCGCACGACCAATAATTGAAATGTAAACCATTACAAATTCAATTTAGTGATATCAAAATATTTTTTCAGAATACCATACAATTTAGCTTAGGATGAAATATTGTGGATCAATTTTTCTTTTAATTTTTATTTCTACAGCAATGAGAGCTTATGGATCCTATAAGCTGTTATGATTTCACTTAAATATGTTGCTTTTCAGAAGGCAAACCAACGCTTGTACCATCTCTATTTGATGAATTTATTTTTACAATTTCTCCATTCGTATTTTATTTTACATATCTCACTATATATTGCAAGTGAAAACCGATTCATTACTGCTTGGCACCAGGCTGACCGAGATCCCTTGTACACCAATGTGAGTAGAATTTTCCACACAAACATTTACAAGACATCGCGTGAGATGTCGCACAAAGGCGATAATATTTCACATACATCGCATTTATTCATGACGACGTACATCATAATCGCCATAAATTACATCACATAAAGAATATAAAATTGATTGAAATGCATCGATGGGCAGTTGATAAACCGCATCGCTGATTGCATCTGATGTAATTAAAATAATTCAACGATCCACTGAGATTGGAAAAGTTAGATATATTCTGTATGAGCGTTTAGCAAAATAGTTATTAATTAATTGCTTCGGCTACCTAGTTATTATTGAAGTATACCGCGCATTCATTTATGAACCATCGTAAAATATACATATTCAATGCATATATACGCATCGAATTAGGAATAGGCAATTAGACAAATAATATAATATACAAATACCCCCTACCCCCATACTTACGTAAACATTTTGCAATTAATGTATTGTTTTTTTAAATATTGTAATTATTAGATTATAATTATAATTTTAAAAATAAGAAAATAGGTTTAGGATGTAGAGATTTTACTGATATGGTATTCAACATGGAGTAACAAAATCATTATAATCTTGCGAACATAATAAACTTATTTTAAAATTTTGGTACTAGCAAAGACAATGTAAGGTTGCCATTCGGTAAAAAAAATAAAAATACTACCTATGACGTAATCATCATCCAGACTACTATCCTGCCCCCCATGTCAATCCAAAATGAGCAAATCCATAACCCCCCCGCCCCCTATAGTGGTTACGTAATACTTGAACGGCCCCAGAGCCAAATGATAAAATAATTCTCTGAAAGTTTTTGATCTTGATTGTAACTTTAAGATAGTTCGCACTCTAACCAAAGTTTCTATGGAAATAACATGATTAAAATTCTATTTGTTTTATATCTTAGCGACAAGTGAATAAAAATTTTGAGAATAACATTGTGTTCGCTTATTGACTTACTTATATTAATATTTGGAATAAACTGTGAGTTAAATTCATTTGCTTTTAACTGACTGTTGCTATTTGTATTGATTTTTTTTGCTTGGCAAAATAAAATTCATAAAATTTATAAATATTCTTCTTTGATTTCTTTTTTTTAAACAAGATAAGTATAAATTTTAAAATATTCGTGTATCCATAAAAAGCAACAACAAAACGGTGATTTCAACAATTTTGTTTACTGTTGTCAAAATTATAAAT